ACACTAGCAGAAGCAGTTGCCTCTGAGTCAGCTTTTAACTAGCCCCATTACAACAGCGCTCCGCCAAGTTGTCAACGAAGGCACCAAGAAACGTGATTCACGGAGGGAACGGGACAAAAATAAATTCATTTCCAGACGAGTTTGGTTCTCTCTCTAAAAGCAGTTTGGAATCTTTCTGGAGGAGAGTTCTCACCTTGACCTACAATAGAAAAGGCTTGTGGAAGACTTATCACGTTGCATACACATACAAATATGAGGATTAGACCGAGAGTGTCTAAAGCACTGATTTATGGGCTGAAATACGATGAAATGACAGATTATAATGGAAACAGCAAACAAGCATCCTGCAATAATTCTTATCAATTAAAAGTTTCCAGGACATCAGCAAATTACCTAGCTTTATATAAAAGATCTCTCTTCTTGAACTTACTCTAGTACTGAACTACACCAAGTAAACAAACAGGAAAGCTAGAGTAGAGGCCTATATAATATTACTTGCAACACCAAACTGATTTCTGTCTTCACCCTAGCTGTAAATACACCCTACATCAGTACATGTAGGTCTTTTCTATAAAAAAAAAAAGAACAGGTTCTGTTTTAATTTTCATCTTATTATTTTTATTTTTATTTTTATTCCAACTTTGTTTTCTGCTTTGCCCAACTACATGTACTGATTGTACTGTACTTGTGACCTGCAGTAATTATCAAATCTGACCCTACTTGATTCTCAAAATATCTACAAAGCAGATCAGCAAAATGTTTTGGTATTCAAGATTTTAAAAAGTATAATATTTCAGACTAATTTTTTTTCTTAATTTCTTTTTTTTTTCTCCTTGAGGGTGAACTTTGTATTAAACCCTCTACATGTGCAGATCTTTATATCTAAATTGCTTTATATATATATATATATATATATATATAGACCTCATATAAACCACAACCCTCTTCACTGAAACCCTTGAAGTTTCTCAGCTATTCAACTGGACGCATAAGCAATATGCTTGTTTTGTATTCGCACACAAAATGCTTGTTCTTGTGAAGTGGATTAGACAACTAAATCCAAATGACAGAAATGTATCACTGGTTCTGCTCCTGGCTTGAAGCCTTTAGAGATTCAGTGACCTATATTTATGTATTTGGCAAGGAAGGGAATGAACTTTTATAATGAAGACCTAAATATCAGCAGGAAATGTGCCACAATTCTGGTACACATCAAGAACCTCGTTTCTACCATGACGCGCAGCCAATGGAGGTTGAGATCGGTTGAACAATGGGTGTAAGCTAGGAGTAGTGATTGGGGGTTCATTGAGTGGTCATTGCTGACAATACGAGCTCAGTTGGACATGTGGGGTAGCAAGAGCTAGAACTCAATAATAAGGTCCACGCGAGCCACATGTGAAGGAGAAATTGTGAGTAACTGACGATACACATGTTGTAGAATCCAGTGTATTGATACACTTATGATTAGTATCATAATATGCTTTAGTATAAAGAGATACATATCAATTCTGAAAGCCTTTGACTAAATGTATATTCTCCTAATGAGGTGCCATCAGTTACAATATTTGTATAGAATTGGGGCTTTCAGCATGAGAACTAAAGCTCACACCTGTTTTATCGGCATAATTCCCTGGACGTTTACAGTGTATCATAATTTTGCAAAGGTTATTATCACTATTCTCATTTCTAAGAGTGTCCGTTGAATAGCTGATTGCTAAATATCATCAAACGCCACGAAAGAAGAAGTACAGGATTCCACTAAATATACATCCATGAGTCACAACACATGAATGCATTATCTAATCAAATCAAAGTCAGAGCACAGGAATTGAAATAATGCCTTATCTTCCCCATTCAGAATCAGGAAGAGGAAAATAGTAGGGGATACGGTCGGTCGAGGGAAGAACTCAAAAAAGACGAGGGCATGACATTGCAAAACTTATGTGGAAATGATTGTGTGTGGGCATGTTTAACCTGTGAAATAAAAGCAAGTAAATATGCAATTACTCAATATATACAGTTAACAACAAATCTATTGATACCCCTTGTTAATTTGATGTTTTAGTGTTTTGGGGTAACTCAATAATGAAAGGTGGACTGGTTGAATAAGGGCCTTTGTTGAATATTTCTAGATGTAAGCTTTAATATGTCACATTCTTAAGGAGCATAAATCGGGACAAAACAATTTTTTACATACTCTAACAATGACAAAACTTGGTAAGGATATGAAAAATTTATTTGTTAACTGTATGTAGCCTTATCCCACATGCTGACCAAGCCTGCTCAAGGAACAACCTGTGCACAAAGAGCATCACAAACCCATATTTTAGTAAAGAGACATGTGCATGAAGGCTATCTTTCTTACTTCCCTTGACCAGTCTTTATACACCATTAACATGTTAAGTTAACCTTAAAAATAAGTGTCTATTCTATTGCATTGAAAAAGCAGAGCATCATCCCTCTTGTGAAAATGATGGAGTACTTACATGAGTGGACAGTTCATTTTTCCCTCATAAAAACACAAACAACTGGTCTTTGCAAATTATTATCGATTATATGTACATTCGGAAATGTCACCTACAGTGTAACTTGTACCAAAAAATTGATCAAATGTACTTGTGAAAGCAGTTTAACCTTGATGTATGATGTCCTATGGTGTGAATTGAACTCACTCTCAGATAGTTGATCATGCCAAGTGGGAGGGTTTACAAGTAGTAAAGAGGAAGAAAACCTGTGAAACAAACCTCAAAACGTTTCCTACGATTCCCCTTTTATACATTTGACATTTCAAAAGGGCATGATAGAAGAGGCTGAACACATAAGAAAACGCCACTAGAACAACAGGCTCACTGGCCAAGGGAGGTTATTTACCAGTTATCACTTGCATAAATGCCTTGATTTTTAAATTAAAGGTTAATATAACAAAATCTAGGCAAAACTGGAGTCATTATTTAATCTAAACAACTTTCATTCTGTTTTTGTGACTTTTAAAAACATAAGGTGCTAAAACATGGTTTGCCCTAGAATAATTGACCCAAATATCTATTTCATCCTTCAAATTATAGGAGAATAACCAACGAATCTGTCCTCCTCCCCCCCCCCCCCCCATACCAGTATTATGTGTCTATATGAAGTAAAAAGTACTGTAGGTATTTAGAAGCTAAACGTCATTTGCTCCAGAATAACTTACAACCTGTACCATATCATTTATTTCAGCTTTACAATTTGAAAAGAATAACTGACATTTTCTCCCCACCCTAACCCCATGTTCTATCCAAGCTACCTTGCCCGGAACTTCATATATCCAAAATACTTGTATAAGAAAAGAAAGACCTCCTAATCCTATTCCCCCTCTCTGATTCCCCCTCCTTAACCACTCCTTGCCTTCACAATCACATGTACTTCCTTACTCCTTTTTCTCTCCCCAAGTCTCCACTAGGAACCATAAAAACAGTGACTCAAACCTTGGAAAAGAAACACTTCCTTTTCACATGTTTCCCCCCAACATATCGCCAATGTCAAGTAGCGCGAATTGGCCATCTAATAAATGTGATTTCATTTAGCCGATTTCAACACGCAAGGCAGAACATTGAGGAAATAGAAGCTGCCCGTATAAACATAAAATGACTTGGAAAGATATTTATTAGCACTTCTTTATTAGCTACTTACTTTTCATTGTTTGCAAGTTAACTATCAAATGACATAGCATGAATTAGTCTACAGGGTTATGGGGAGAAAAAATACAGAAGAAACACAAACTACATAAAGTATTTTACAAACAAAATGGAATTAGCAAGTCATGGGTAACAACATGTTTGGAGCCAGAAGGGTGTTAAATCTGTGTTAAAATTCTCTGCAGATAATAAATGAACATTGTTAACAATAAACAAGTGCATGGTGCATGTACTAATACAAATGATGATAAAACATCTACAGATTTTTTTTTAAATGTTCATGTGCATGATCTTCATACTCTATCTTTGTTTCTCTCTCTCCCATCTAAAAAAAATTAAAAAATTGCATTATGAAAACAGAGGCCCCACTATTCTATTTTCTACTTTCTAAATTATATTTTTTACACAACTTTATTCCCTCCCTCTCTCTCTCTCTCTCTCCCTCTGTTTCTCCTTCTCTCCCTTCATCTTTCTCTTTTCTGTCCCTCTCTCTCTCTCTTTTCTCCTTCTCTCCCTTTATCTTTTCTATCCCTCTCTCCCTCTCTCTCTCTCTCTCTCTCTCTCTCTCTCTCTCTCTCTCTCTCTCAACCAAATCTCTTGACACAGGAACCATGGTCTGGCTCTCAGCTACAGATATTACTGACGACTTGTCGCTCCATTCATAAGTGTACAGCACACCTACCTCCTGCCATAGATAGCATCTAGAACAGTGTAACCCTGTGCCTTGTTTGTATCCTATTCAAAATGGCAAACTTTTTGTTTGTTTTCACCAGCATAAACACATTCTACAAGATAGGACAAAACTCAAGACTATGCTCATATTTTGGAAGGAGATGGTCAGTATTGAAGCACAGAATATACTACTACTGCATTACATTTTAATAGCCCTCTCTCTCTCTCTCTCAAACTAAAACCGAAGAAATGTTAACAAATTGAATCATAAATTAATTTTTTAAAGGGTGAGAGAGAAAGAGAGAGACGTGGACAGAGAGAAACAGACATAAATGACACATAGACAGAGAGGGATAGGGCCCATAGGGGTTAGTGATACATGTAGCAACACAAACATGGAGGAAATTTCCTATCTGAACTCTAGTATTTGTTAATACAGTATCCTGTAAAGTTTAGGATGTACTTCAACCTAAAATGTTACAGGTTTTGCATCCCTGACTGTTAAAGTCCTCTGAACACATTTACATGTTATCAATGAATTAAAAGAAGATGGAATAGATATCCAGACTTTGCCTATGTTTCTGATAAAACAGGCATTTGTTGCTGCAAGATAACATTTTCTGGTTTGACATGACATATCATTTCAGTCCTTACCTGTTCAGGAGAAATTCAGCCATCTCTGAGTCGGACTCCAAGGACAGCGCAGTCATGCAGTTCTTCCATCTTGTGAAAACACCGTCAGAGAGCTGTATGAACTTCCCCATTGGAGGTTGAGCCCTGGTTTCACTCACACTCGCTTGTTTGCGAGACAGGATCCTATGATTACAAAAACGCACAGAGAAGAAAGAAGCAAATTTAGATGAATGATGGTTTGAGCACTGTTTCTCAACAGTATATGCTTTGTCATTGATCATTCTTGCCTCTAAAGTTTCTCAACCTTTCCACAAAAGGATGACCAACAACTAACCCATTTCTAATTCCCAGAAACAAATATACCTTCACAAATCTAACCAAAAGTGCTGTTAACGAGTTGTAAAGCCAACATGTAATCAAACATGTAATCAATCCAATACGTTCTGCATTGTAAAATTGTAAAAAACAATACTATGAAATTTACTACATTCATAAAATTGTTTTATACTTTTTCAAGAAGAGACAAAACCTCTTGGAGCGAAATGCTATCGTATTTCTAGCGTGTTTGACCGTGTGGACGGTGTCAATGCGAGTCAGAAGGAAATGTTGCTGGTACAAAGCTTTTTTAACTATTTTATTCAATTCAGACTTCAAATTTGCGGATATTGACCTGGTGAGGAGAAGGGCAAGTGAAATGTAGAAGGGTGCTTTTCCTTGTATCAGTTTCACATCCCATAACCACTCCAAGAGTGAAAAGTGCACGCAACATTCACCGATGTTAAAGGTAATGTCGAGGAGTTGAGCTTCAGTTCCATTTTGAGAGGAACTAGCAAAAAATTATCGTCATAAAGGTTGGTTAGATCCACACAAAAAATTATCACATTGGAAAATGATCACATACTCTGAAAAGCACAATTTTGCATGCACGTACAGGTACAAAATACATGTAAGACAATGCTAAAATACTCACTTATTCACAATCTCAGATACTATTTTTTTTTAAATATTTATAAAAAAATCAAATCACAGATAGCATCATTGCTACTTGATAGAAAACTTTAAGATATATCATTCTAGTTTCAAGTGAATATTCAAATTTGTGAACATTGGTATTGACGATAAATGCACAGTAACAGCAATTAAACAATTTTAAATCTCAAACTCTACCAACAAATGTTGGAAATTAACAGTTACAGAAAATATGCACTACATATGGGGTCCCCCTACTTATCTGTATCAACATTTACAAAATAATTATCTAGAGTCTAATGAACTTGAAAGCTTCTTGGTGCAATGATGATGTAATCTGCTGTAGTCTGCAAGATGACCATAAACTTATAATACAAAATCTGAACATTACAAAACTCAACTTTAACTTTAAACTTTAAAAAAGACACTAGACTGAATCCTGAAACCAAATTAATATTTTGTCACCATTGTAATGTCTATTTCAGGCATACTACATCCAGGGACCATTATAACGCTGCACGCAAACTGTTTAATTAAAATAAAGAAAATTAGAGAAATAGAGACGTGTGAGATCTAGTTAATGCTGCCATGGAAAAATGTCAAGAAATCATAAGTGGTTGTGCTTTCTTTTAAGGATATGATCTACAAATTTGTATTAAGTACTTTTTATGTATTTTTTTATCGAAAATATTAAAAGGCAATTAGATTTAATTGGTAACTATAGATTTTACACGTGCTCCTTTTCATTTTAAATGTAATTTTCAACACAAATAAAAGTGCTGTGACTTGTGAACCATTGATATTTTCCTGAACATCACTTGCACTATAGTATTCATTACTTGGAGAGAGAAAGGTCAGTGGTTTGAGGATGCCCTCTGTGAAAAGATGGGGCAAGATCAAGAGAGACTTATCTTTTGAATGACAGAATGATGTCCCCCTGAAGGAGAGTGTAACCTATTGCAACATGAAGAGTTGGTCTACCAACCATCCATCCATCTATATTTAACGCAAGGTGGTCCAAAATCGCTTGTCTATCAACTGTTTAATAATGATGTACGGTGGGCTAGGCTGAAATATGAGGGACGGTTCTGCTTGTAAATAATTATCATTGATGATGAGGCTGATGATGATAGTAATGATGATGATGGTGGTGGTGATGATGTTGACGGTTATGAGGATGATGAGGCTGATGATGATGGTAATGATGATGACAATAAAGATGATGAAAGTGATGGCAATGATGATGATGACAATGTTGATGACAACTTTAATGTCCTACTATGCAACTATAGTATCAACCAGCTCAGGCACTTCTGACATTTTTTTGCCCTGACTTGAACTTCAGTCACCAATTATTTATGAGGCAATGGAAAATCTAAAGATCAAAAGATCAATCTGTAAATATTTCATTCTTGATTAAAAGACAGGACTATGGATACATTTAGGCCTCCATGACAGAATTGAGACAGATACCAGGAGAAATTCCCAATATCTGAGAGCAAGGCTAACATATTTGTTTTCTATGGTTATCAAGTGACGAAGAGAGCTGCACACCTGACCTTAGGAAAGAGTTTGCAGAGTCCATGAATTAATATGAACTGGGGGGTGTTTCACAAAGATCCTAAGTTGAACTTATCTCTCAGTTGGACTTAATAATTATGGAAAGCCGTCATCATCCTTGAAATTATTTTGTTAAAGTAATTTTAAAAGGCATAAAATATTGATTCAAATCTTTCATATTTCCTATTATCATGGTGGATTTCATGATCTTGATGTGGAATTTATGAAAAGGCTGAAATACTTGAATTTTGCTTTTGAATATATTTCATTATAAGGCTACAAATGGCTCTCCATAATATTTAAGTCCAACTTAGAGTTAAGTTTGACATAGAATCTTTGTGAAACACTGCCCTGGAGTCCTTTCAGCGCAGAAGCAGAGAAGGGGTACAACTATAACAACCACTTCCTAGCTGATACAAGTAAAATATAATTACAAACAGAATATCCAAAGCTTAGATAGAAATAGAATCATTCTCAGTGACAAGAGACAGGAGAGCAATGATTATTTCTCATGTCACTTTCATAGTTGTGATCTAAATCACAAAGAAACATTTGCATCTGTTCAAAATAGTAAATACAATATACACGAGTATGAACTATGAAGTTGTCATTTTGTGTTAATTTTGAACCCATGTTCCGTTCACATTTCAGAGGAAAAATGTACAACTGTAGATGATATTCAGAAATAATTTGTCCAGTTTGAAAATGATTCTTTGAAACACTCCCTAAGTTCCTGAAAATATTACATACATGTAGATATGACACATGCATGTTCAGTCAGACAATTGTCCGTACATTACCATAATTTTGTCCCCTTTATTTGGCTTAAACTTAGCACGGACCAAATTTCAAGTATCAATTTGTAACAGTAATGTAGGTTTAATACAGCATCATCTTAGGTTAATTGGTCGGATGAGTGTATTCATACTCTCACCATCTCTTTCACAATTAATTTCACAATCCTATATATAGTATTGTAACTGTGGCAGGCATGAAGCCTTCCTGCATCCTCCAACCATGGACCAACAAACACTTGACTATGTGCTGTGAGTGAGTGAGGTTAGGAGGTCAATGAATGAAACCATCCAGGAAAGAGGGTCAATATAATCATCAAGCGTCTAATTCAGAAGCACAAACTCAGGCCAATACTCTTAGATTTCACACCTTCAATTCCCACTGGAAACACTATCCACAATTCAGGATCCAATGCGTACACACTTACCTCAAAAGACTGGCTACCTGAGTAATTTCTTAAAATTTGAATAAACTGTTCAAAAGCAAACATGTGACTTCATTCACAGATCCACTCAACATTATTGTATGTTAAGGTTTACACATGCACACAAAAATGTGTTGCATGTAGGAAATATGAAGATTAAAAAAGAGAGAAAAAAGTGAGAGCAAGGAGATGCAAAGACTCAATGATACAAATTACCTTAGAGAAGAAGGTTTTAGTTCAAAACCATGCTGATGCATAAGTAGTCTTACTCTTTGCTAAGATGTACATGTATAATACGCCATAAATACAATACAACTTGCCCTTTATACTATGTTAATGTATGATGATATGATGCACCAATTTCTGGAATAAGGTGAATGAACACCATTACAAAGTCACCTTGTTGTTAGGATTTTGAGAGAAATGTTTTGACATCAAACTTTCAGAGGTCACATAATGATTTTAAACTCGGGAACTTTTTCTCTATTCATATCTTATCACACTCACAATCTGGAATGACACCCTGGACTATTTAATAAACAAAAATGGCATAATTCAGCAGATAAGGTGTCCGACTATCTAATCTGCGCAAACAACGATAATGATTAGGATCGTAAAACCATGATATCAATGTTAAAGCTTAAAAATCATATTTTCACTCCTACATTTTGTTTGAAATACATAAGAATAAATGAGATACAGCGAAGGAAGGATTGTTCTCCTTTTGTGAGGCCCTAGCTGTTTCCATAATTCAACAGTTGAGATGATAAGATACGGGGTTAGAGGGCAAATACACAGAACAGAGCTAGAACAGAGCTGGCAAAGACAAGATGAAGTTAAAATTGCATATCGGCTCCTCATTACCTCCTACATGATGAATAGACTGTAATGAAAAGGACTTTGATTCCCAATCTACATTATGCAGATGAAGTGTCAGGAGATATCACCAGATAACCTCAGGCTGAAGGAACAACTTTTATGAGGTCAATGAATAATACATGCCACTACTCCAGTTCTTTTCCCTCTTCGTAAGCTTGGTTTTCTGGTTGTAGGGTACTATGGTGGTGCGGATAGCTCATTACCAATTCCTTTGGAATTTTCCACAAAGACATGTACGTGTTTTGAGTATGATATGAAGAGTAGGCAAGTGTGAAGATGCGCGTCTTTGAGTAATTAGCATCGGACCAAAAAAAAATATAGTGTTTGAGAAGGTCTTCAAAAACTATTTTTTTATCAAGATCAATCAAAATTGTGGAGTGTTATTTAGTGCCCAGAGTGAGATTCAGTGCCTTGGTTAAGCTCTTCGAGAACAATTCCACGCAACTCCAGAATTCTAGTAAGCCAGTCACATGATTGGCTCATATTCATAAAGGCTTTACAGTTATATCTGGTTTAATGACCCGGCTTAATATATATGGAGCACCTTGTATCATCT